TGTTGTTGTTGTTGTTGTTGTTGTTGTTGTTGTTGTTGTTGTTGTTGCATGGTTTAATTGATTATTCACTCAACTTTTATTTAAACTCCTGGTAGGTTTGTGTTATTTGAGAAGATGTGCTGAGTTTATTTGTGGCATACATCATCCTGCAGGCGTAGAAACTCAAAAAGTCCAGTTTACTCACAGTAACCTCTAATAATCAAGTGTATTGTTGAATATCAGTAAAATGTCAACGTGAACTTCTCCCAGGTGCAGTTTGGTGCTAGATTTAGACTGAAAAGATTCACCCCCTCATTTTGTTGCAGCCTTGTTTTCATCTTCCTGCTGTTCTTGAGTTGAAATCTCCCAGTTTTGGGCCTTGGGTTATTTTGACCCAAGGAAAGCATGAGGTTGAACATTATAACCAGCTCCAAAGCATGGATCCAACCTTTACCTTGTGTTTTCTCCCCTTCAGGCCCGTGAAGCCAACCACACAGGGGATCGATTAGCCGCAGAGCGAAGCAGCAGGACAGCCAAGACTCTGAACCACGTGGCTCTGGGACTTGGACTCGGATCCCTGGTCTTAATCATCATCTATATGATTGTTATTTTTGTTATCGCTTACAACTAAACCTGCTATGTTTTTACTTTGTCTGCTACTTCTTTACATAACCAGAACACATTAGGAGCATTACCTGCCATCATGTTGAGTTTTTACTAGAGCCTGATCGATATGGAAATTTTGGCTATCGCCAATACCGATATAGGGCAGGGGAAGACTAATGCCAATAACCAAAATTTTTTAGCTTTGTCCACCCCCCAATAATGTAAGTAAACAGCTACTTTTAAACCTGTTTTAACACTTGAAGTCTTGAAACAGTCTTCCTAAAGTGCGTTCACATTTTCTATCCTCCTCTAGTCACCATAAAGTTATCAAGTGTTACAAAAATATAAATTAAATAAAGAAACACCTTCTCTGTTCATTGTTTAAACTAGGGGTGTCAAACTCACTTACAAAAGGGGCCAATATTAAAACCTTTATCAAACTAAGGGCCAGTTTCAGAATCTACATTAACTCAAATTAGATACCCAGCATCTTTTCTTGGTCACAGGTTCCTCAACAAGAGTTTGATTGGTCTCATTTGATGTTTTCTGTTGTGCTTTCAACATCATAATCAAAGATTACTGAAAAAATTCAAGAGATCAAAGTATTTTACATTTCACATATCATCTTGGGGGCCAGATAAGATGTCAACGAGGGCCACATTTGGCCCTCAGGCCTTGAGTTTGACACATGGTTTAAACAGTCAGTCGTGTATGGTGAAGGTCTAATTAGTACTGGCCACAGCTGCATTTTTATTTTATTTTACAGAGAAGTAAAGATTTCAAACAAACAATACATTTCATTAAGAACGACAAAGATAACGAACACTGATATATTTTACCTCTACGTTAGATTTATTGTTCTGGATAAAGTTTTACAAGGTAGTAGCCTATGCTAGGTTATCTAAACGTTAGCTTGCTAACTTGAGAGTCATATAGCTAATGACAAGCGGGTTGGAGGATTAAAGAGAATTTGTTATTGTAGATTTTATTTTACAGATCAGTTACAATAAACTTACCCTGCTCTGTTCAGTAAAATGCACTACACAGTACTGCTCCCTGCTTCAGCTGTGCTGAACATGAAAGTGAAACTTAAGTGAACGGCCATGACTTGAAAGTAGCCCTCTGCCTTCTGCTGGATACATTGTACATTTACACCTTTTGCAAGGACACAGCTTGTTCCCATTGTTTATTTCGGCATATAATGGGACAATTATAACCAATATCGATTTGTCCCAAACGCCTATATCGGCTTAAAATATCGGCCCCTACCGATCTATCAGTCGGGCTCTAGTTTTTACCCTAAAATCCTGTCGGGGATAAAAAAAAAGAACAGAAATAATGGCAGGAAAGAGATTGTACTCAGGATTTTATTGTCATCATGGTTTTAATTTGAGAAGGGAACCAGCTTCTCAGGAACCCATCAGGAGAGCAGAAACTCAGTGACTCAACCTGTATCGTTGTTTTATTCATCTTTTTTATATGGTCGCTTTTGTCTCTTCTTTTCTACAATGCTTTATCAAAAATAAAGATTTTCGTCATAAATAAAGTATACTGTGCTAAAAACTGTACTACCTGCCTGTTTTTTTTAACTAGATCTAAATATTTGTGCTCCAACATATAATCTCTTCCATACTGATGCATTTTCCACATCTTTAGTGTTTCTGTCTCTGATCTGTTTTTCTTTGTTTGTGTTATTGTGTCATTTTGTTTCTTGTAATTCCTGGAAAGGAAAGTACACGTTGTGAACAATCTTTAGAATGCTCATGAACAAGTAGTTTAATTATGGCAAGTCAGATGCACCAGACAAAAAAGGGACCATTCAGGATGTGAGTAATGGCTTCCAGATGTCGACTTCACAGTTTGGATGAATAAGGAGTTCTGCTCATTCTGAGACTAACAGTAAATGTTTTGTCCCTCTCTGTCTCGTCCACTTCGTGTTTCCTCATACTTTTTCTTCTAAACTTGTGCAATGACACACTCGCATCCTTTTTTCTTTTCTCAGTCTGACTCATCCTTTCTCTCTCTTCAGCTTCTTTATTTTATTATCTTGTTCATTTGGAATCTGTCGGACCCTGATGTGTTTAGCCAGAAGTTCCATTTAGGAGAGAGAGCTTTTTGTTTGCCGAGGCACAGAAAGTACTGAAACCAAACATGAAACATTGATTTTGTTGTAAAACATATGACTGAAACGATGCACGATAATGGATGTTTGGCCGATATCCAATAAGTCAATATGTTAAAACCTACTTGGCTAACCAATACCAATCCAGAATTATTTTTTTTCCCTACACCTACTTCCAAAGACTAAATAGCTTTCTCTGCTGTTGAATTAAACTACTACATTACTCTGCATGGTCTTTGCCTGCTACTAAATGCAGATGCCAAAAGGGGCTGAAAATGATGCAACACTTCAACTTGGATTATGTTTAATGTCGAATTTATTCATGACATTTATTCTCTAACACAATGACAACACTTGAACAGTGCAAATTTGTGAATTTTCACATCTAAACTCAACCTGTTCACAAGCAACAAGTGAAAAGAGTATAAGTAGTAGTGCATTAATAGATGTACTGGACAGTTACTTAAATTAAAAATTAAAACAGAAGCCCAATACGTGCTTATACAATCTTGATCAACACAAATCTGTGAATTCTGCTATGTGCAAATTAAAACAAAAGGGCAAAAAATGCCAAATAACATGCACTACATTTTAGCATTTATATACTGTGTATATATATATATACACAGTATATAAATGCTAAAATGTAGT